GAGTTTAAGGCTGTAAATTTCCCTGTAAGCCTTGAGTTTCTTTTTCCTAAACAACAAAAAAAAGCTAGAAGCCTAACACATAGTTATCAGCAGATCTTTTTTTTTTTTTCTGTGGTCTTTCTTCTTGGCTTCTTGGCTCACTATGTCCTCACATGGCCTTCCCTCTTCCCACATGCCTAGGTCTCTTTGTGCTCAAATTAACTTTTTTAAAGACTTTTTTAAAGAGCGGTTTTAGGTTCACAGCAAAATTGAGAAGGTATAGAGATTTCTCATATATCCCCTGCCCCACATGTGCACAGCTTCCCCCACTATCAACATCCCTCACAGAGAGGTACATTTGTTACAACTGATGAACCTACATTATATATCATAATCACCCAGAATTTATGGTTCACATTATGGTTCACTTTTGGTGAGCACATACTATGGGTTTGGACAAATGTATAATGACAAGTATCCATCATTATAGTATCATGTAGAGTATTTACTGCCCTAAAAATCCTCTGTGCTCCACCTATTCATTCCTCCCTCCTCTTCCTAACCCTTGGCAACCACTGATCTTTTTACAATCTCCATAGTTTTTTCCTTTTCCAGAATATTATATAGTTGGAATCATACAGTATATAGCTTTTTAAGATTGGCTTCTTTCAATTAGTGAAAGACATTTAAGTTTCCTCCATGTCTTTTCATAGCTTGATGGCTCATCTCTTTTAAGTGCTGAAAATTATTCCATTGTGTGGATGTACCACAGTTTGTTTATCCACTCACTTACTGAAGAATATCTTGCTTGCTTCCAAGTTTTGGGACTTGTGAATACAGATGCCATAAATCCATGTGCAGACAAAGTGAGGACATAAGTTTTCATCTCCTTTGGGTAAAAACAAGGAGCATGATTGCTAGATTGTATGGTAAGAGTATGTTTTGTTTTGTAAGAAACCACCAAACTTCCAAACTAACCATATCATTTTGCATTCCCATCAGCAATAAATGAGAGTTATGTTCCTCCACATTCTAGCTTGTATTTGGTGTTGTTAGTGTTACAAATTTTAGCCATTCTAATAGGTATAGAGTGGTATTTCATTGTTGTTTTAATTTGCATTTCCCTGATGACATATAAAGTAGAGCATCTTTTCATATACTTGTTTGTCATCTGTATATCTTCTTTGGTGAGGTATCTGTTAAGTTCTTTAGCCCATTTTTTAATCAGGTTGTTTGTTTTCTTATTAAGTTTTAAGTTCTTTGTATATTTTAGATAGCAGTCCTTTATTAGATATGTATTTTGCAAGTATTTTCTCCCAGTCTATAGCTTGTCTTCTATTCTCTTGACATTGTCTTTTGCAAAGCAGAAGTTTTTAATGTTAATGAAATCCAGTTTCTTAATTATTTCTCTCATGGATCGTGACTTTGGTGTCATCCCATACATTTTTATATATTATAGTTTCATTTTCATTTCATTGAAAATATTTTCTAATTCCCCTTGTGATTTATTCTTTGATTCATGGATTATTTGTTTGATTTCCAAATACTTATAGATTTCTCAAGTTACTTTCTGTTGTTGAATTCCAATTTAATTTTGTTGTGGTCAGGGCACATACATTACATGAGTTAATCCTTTTCAATATACAAGACTTGTTTTATGGCCTAGCATAGATGGTCTATCCTGAAGCATATTCTATATGCATTAGAAAAGAATGTGTTGGGTGCAGTGTTCTATAGATAATTCAATCAGGTAAAGTTAGCTGATGATGTTACTCAAGTTTTTTATATCCTTACTGATTTTCTTTCTAGTCATTCTATTCATTATTGAGAATGTGGTATTGAAGTCTCTTTCTGTTATTATTGAATTTTCTATTTTTATTTTCAGTTTTATTAGTTTTGTTTCATTTATTTTGGTGTTCTGTTGTTGGTATGTATATGTTTGTAATTGTTATATCTTCCTGATAAATTGGCCCTTTTATCATTATAAAATGCCCCACATTGTCTCTAGTAACATTTTTGTCTTAAAGTCTATTTTGTCTGTATTAGTATAGTCATCCCAGCTCCTTTATGTTTACCATTTGCATGGCGTATCTTTTTTAATCCTTTTAACTTTCACTCTTCTGTGTCTTTGACTTTAAAATGTGTCTCTCTAGTTGGATCTTATTTTTTTACTTAGCCTGATAATTTCTGCTTTTAATTGGAGTTTTTAATCCATTTACATTTAATGTAATTGTTGATATGGTTGAACTGACATCTGACATCTTGCAATTTTCTATATATTTCATTTTTTTTATTCCTCTGTTTCTCCTTTACTGTCTTTTCATTCAAAAGGGATATTGTCTAAGGTACTGTTTTAATTTCTTTTTGTTTTGTTTTAGTTATTTTCTTAGTAGTTTCTTATTATAATACATCTTAACTCATTACAATCTGCTTTAGGGTAACACTAACTTAATTCCAGTTAACTGTAGAAACTGCTCCAATAAGACTCCATTTCCCCCTCCTTTGTGCTATTATTATTCTAAGTATTACATCTTTATATGTTGTAAGCCCAACAATACAGTTTCATAGTTTTGTTTTATGCAGCTGTCATTTAAATTAGTTAAGAGCTGAGTAATGAATATTTTCAACTGTCTTTTATATTGATCTGTGCAACTATCTTTACTGGTGTTCTTTATTTCTTTGTGTGCTTTTGAATCACCATCTACTGACATCTACTTTTCACCCTAAAAGATGTTCTTTCTTATTTCTTGTAAGGCAGATTTTCTCACAATGAATTCTGTCCTTTGTTTTTCTGGGAAGGTCTAAATTTTGCTTTCCGTTTTGAAGGATAGATTGCTGCATGTAGAATTCTTGGTTGACATTTTTTTCGGCATTTTGAATATGTCATCCCACTGTCTTCTTCTGGCCTCCATTATTTCTGGTAAAAATTCAGCTACTAATTTCATTGTGTTCTTCTGTATGTGAAGAATCATTTCAGTTCCAAAGTTTCCAACTGATAATTTTTTATAATTTCTATCTCTTTATATTTGATTAGTCAATAAAATCATACTTTCCCTTAATTTCTTATCCTTCTCTTTAGTTCTGTAAACATATTTATACTAGCAGTTTTGAAGTCCTTGTCTGCTAAGTCAAACATTTGGGTCCCCTAAGAGATAGTTTCTTTCTTTCTTTATTTTTTTCTTGTTTATGGGTCACACTCTCCTATTTCTTTGCATGTTGTAATTTTGTTGTTGTTGAAAACTATACGTTTTAGATAATATGTTGGAGCAAATCTGGATTCCAAATCCTCCATTCCAGAGGTTATTTTTGTTTTTTCTTTTCTGTTCATTTGTTGTTTAGTCACTTCCTGGACTAGTTCCATAGAGTCTTGCATCATGTAGCTGCTAGTATCTCTCAAGTTTTTTATTTTTAAATTTTTTTTTTATTTTTAAGGCCAGCTTCCTAGGGGTTGCCCCTGAGTCAGCATAGCTTAATAGTGAGATGATGATTGATCAGAGGTTGTGTTTACCTTGAGCTGATAAGGCTTTCACCTTTTGCCAGTAGATCTGTGTGTGGGTTTGGGAACACTTTCAAAATTTAGGCAGTTTACAAGTCTGATTGGCTTTTACTTTTTGACATGCCTTCTCATGTCTCCTTTATGAGTGTACTAGGTTTCACATTCATCTGGGAATGCATGGATAGCTAGTGCCCTCTCCAGTCCCTCCTGAGCATGCACAGCCTTCCAGACTACAGGGGGTATTTGTGGGCTTATCAAAATCCTCAATGGCTTTCTTATTCCTCAAATCTCCCTGTTACATTTCTTGCAAGTCTGCTGGTCTGTTTCTTGCCCCTACCAGTGTCAAAACCTGAAGCTAGCCAAGATGTTGGCCTTGCCTGGGATATGTGCTTCATTCCGAATCAAGTTAGCCCCCTCCAGCAGTGGAGCTGCTGGTTTTTAGGACTTTACTTGTCTATTTAGAACTACCAAGTTAATAGAAACTGGGGGAGGGGATTTTGCTCTAAGTTATTTCACTCAGCCACTTTGCTATTATTGAACATTAAGATTTTTCTAACTTTTTGATACAAGGACCATCTTTATGAAGCTTTCTTTTCTTACCATTTGTATTAGTTTCCTAGGCCTATCATGACAAGCTCAGTGGTATAAAACAACAAATATTGGGCTTCCCTGATGGCGCAGTGGTTGAGAGTCCGCCTGCTGATGCAGGGGACACGGGTTCAAGCCCTGGTCCGGGAAGATCCCACATGCCGCGGAGCGTCTGGACCCGTGAGCCATGGCCACTGAACCTGCGCGTCCAGAGCCTGTGCTCCACAACGGGAGAGGCCACAACAGTGAGAGGCCTGCGTACCAAAAAACAAAACAAAAAATATATGTATTTTTCAATCACAGTTCAGGAAGTCTGAAATCAAAGCATTGCCAGGTTTAATTCCTTCTGGAATCTCTAAGAGAGAATCTATTCCATTCCTCTCTCTAGCTTCTGATAGCTGCCGACAAGCCTTGGCATTGCAGCATCCCTTCAATCTTTGCCTCCATCGATACATGGCCTTCCTCCCTGTGGGTCTGTGTACCTGAATCTCCCTCTCCTTTCTCTAAAAAGACACCAGTCATTGGATTTAGAACACATCCTAATTCCATATGACCTCATCATAAATAATTACTTAAGTAATTACTTCTTCAAAGATCCTATTTCCAAATAAGGTCACATTCTAAAGTTTTGGGTTGACATGAATTTTGAGGGACACTATTCAACTCAGTACACCATTTATTATAAAGTATCATTTGAAAATCAGTATGGTCTCTCTGTTGTGGATTAGGTGATCTTTTGCGAAGATTAGTTTGGTAAATGGTAAAATGGCACTTAACTTCTTAGTTGGGATAGTTTCTCAAGTTAAGCTAGCTTGCACCCTCTTTTTGGTTACTTTGTTTACATTGTTAAGAAAAGGCAGAGAGATCTGTGGACAGGAAAGAGTTGGCAGAACCTCACTCTACTCAACTCTGACTTGCATGTCTGCTTTTAATCTAGAGCCAAATAACTATCGGACCATGCGTGGCCGGGCAGTAAATGGCAGCCAGTTGGGAAAGGATTACATCCAGCTGAAGAGCCTGTTACAACCCATCCGGATTTACTCCAGAGCCAGCTTGTATGGCCCTAATATTGGGCGGCCCAGGAAGAACGTCATCACCCTCCTAGATGGGTAGGTCAGATTATTTAGCAGTTTTTAAAACATTGTTCATTAAATGTAATGAATTAATATATTTGCATTTTTCCTGGTTATTTCTGGTCTTAAGAAGGGCAGAGAGACTTTTTCATAGTGACATCTCCCACCATAAATCAGGGATTCTCTACCAAACAGTGGAAGAACTTATCTCTCCAGGCCTTCCACAATCAGCAGAAGAGGGTGGGATTGGGAGGGATATCACAACCTCCAGAACAGCTGGAAAGGATGTGTTGTTTTAGAAAGCACATTTAATATTACAGCATTGCATAACATTACTTAATATTTTTTAAAAGGCAAAATATTATCTACTGTATTCTTGGGACCTCTTACAGAAGGTAAAACTTGACAAAATCCTGGACAGTGGATCTGGGTTAAAAAGTTGAGAAACACTACAAATGCTTGTACATTAAAGCACAGCTTAACAGATAGATTTATTAGGTATTCTAGAGAATTGCTATCATGTGATTTATTTAATTTTGACTGAATCTAACAATCATTTTTTAAGCAGTGGTTATGGATGCAGCACTATGTTAGATGCTCTCTTCCCCAGTCCTGCTGGTGGGCCAGGCCCAGATTAAATAAGTGGAACGTATATGCATGTTGGGTCCAGTTATGCAGGGTTGGAGTGGATGTCTGAGGGAATAGCATGAGGAAGACTGAAGATATATGTTGAATCAAAGACTCAAAGAGGATACGTAACTACAACAGAGAGGGTAGGAACAAGGAAGTTGGGAGAGGCAGGAGTTCATGTGACATACAGAGTATGCACCAAGGCACACCTTTTGTGCAGCATCCTGTCATATTCTGGGACAGGTATGGTTATTCCTACAAATTCAAAGACAAGTAAGATGTTTTCCAGTGAAGTGTACAGCCCAAGTAAGGTTAGATAAATGCTGTACAAGTATAGACAGATACGTTCCAGTAGCAAGACACCTCTGGCCAACCTCCTGAATGGCCCTTGTGGCTTGATGGCTCTTATGACCCTCTCTCTTCCCTTTTGTGGTAGCTTAGTCTTGATCTAAGCTAATTAACGTAGCAGACATTATTGAAGGCTTGGGAAGCCGGAAGGATTTACACTGTAACAACATTAACAGCCTGAGGTTTAATTTTAGGCATTTTCGTCTTTACAAAGAATCCCCAAGCCCTTATTTTAATTCCTATCCTTTCCCCATCCTTCATTTTTCTCTCCTTCTCTCTCAGTAGGAACTTCTGTTTTCTCTTGCAGAACAATTTTCTGACCTTGACTCCTACCTACAAATGCAGCTCTGGGCTTCCCTTTGCATACTTTTGCTGAACTTTGAAATTACTCTGTGTGTGTGTGTGTGTGTGTGTGTGTGTGTATGGGGGGGGATGGTGATGGAGAAGTTGGTTTTGTTTTACATGTTTTAATTAGGGGATAAGAATCACATGTGTAGAACATTTTCATAGTTCATAATACACAATCAAGCAAAGACAATAACTATCACTTAAGTCCACATAGTTATTCTTTTAGATTATACCTTTTCTTTAATGATTTGATTAATATATTTTCATGGGACTGACAGTCTTCTCAGTAGCATGACCCTGTATCAATCATTCATTCATTCTGCAAATACTTGTTGAATAATTGCTATGTTCCAAGTACTATGTTAGGAACTGGGAATGTAAAAATAAACAAAAATAGATACTTTCTCTGCCCTCATGGAGTATATAATATGGTAGGGGAGACATAGACAATAATCAACTTATCTTAAGACTAAAACAGTACCAAGGAGAGGTACATGGTACTATGAATGACTGTAAGTGCTGGGATTTGACTAAGTTAGGTGGTTGGAAGGGTTCCCTAAAGGAGTCACACTTAAGAAGAACAAGCACATGAAAAGATACTCAACATTGCTAATCATCAGAGAAATGCAAGTCAAAACCACAATGAGATATCACCTCACACCTGTCAGAATGGCCATCATCAAAAAGACCACAAATAAGAAATGTTGGTGAGGATGTAGAGAAAAGGGAACCCTAGTAGACTGTTGGTGGGAATGTAAGTTGGTGCAGCCACTTTGGAAAACAGTATGGAGATTCCTCAAAAAGCTAAAAATAGAGCTACCATATGATCCAGCAATCCCACTTGTGGGTATATATCTGAAGAAAATGAAAACACTAATTCAAAAAGATATATGCACTCCAATATTCATAGCAGCATTATTTACAATAGCCAAGATATGAAAGAAACCTAAGTGTCCATCAACAGATGAATGGATAAAAATGTGGAATGGAATATTACTCATCCATAAAAAAGAATGAATTTTGCCATTCACAGCAACATGGATAGACCCGAGGGGTACTATGATTAGTGAAATAAGCCAAACAGAGAGAGACAAATATAGTACGTTATTACTTATATGTGGAAAATAAAAAATAAAAAAATGAATGAATATAAAAAACAGAGTCACAGGTACAGAGAACAAACTAGTGGTTACCAGTCAGGGAGAAAGAAGGGGGAAGGGGCAAGATAAGGGTAGGAGATTAGGAGGTACAAACAAACTACTATGTATAAAATAAAAAAGCTACAAGGATATATTGTACAGCATGAGAAATATAGTCAATATTTTACAATAACTTTTAAAAAATTTTTTCAGTTTTGACAGTCTAGGGTTGTATTTTTTAAAATTAATTAATGTATTTATTTTTGGCTGTGTTGGGTCTTTGTTGCTGCGTGTGGGCTTTCTCTAGTTGCAGCGAGCGGGGGCTAATCTTGGTTGCAGTGCTCTGGCTTCTCATTGCGGTGGCTTCTCTTGTTGCAGAGCATGGGCTCTAGGCGCCTGGGCTTCAGTAGTTGTGGCTCGCGAGCTCTTGAGTGCAGGTTCAGTAGTTGTGGCCCACGGGCTCAGTTGCTCTGCAGCATGTGGGATCTTCCCAACCCAGGGCTTGAACCTGTGTCCCATGCATTGGCAGGTGGATTGTTAACCACTGCGCCACCAGGGAAGTCCTACAATAACTTTAAATGAAGTATAATCTATAAAAATATTGAATCACTATGTTGTACACCAGCAATAATGTAATATTGTAAATCAACTATACTTCAATTTTTAAAAATTCATTAAAAATAAATAAAGTGTAATCTGAAGAATGAGTAAGGTGTTAACTAGACAAAATGAGAAGTAAACAGTATCAGTGTTCTTGGAAGAAAGATAAGTATGTGCAAAGGCCCTAAGGATGAAAAAAGGGCCAGATTGGCTAAAGAAAGGTATAGCTAGAGAAGTAATTAGGAGTCATATTATATAGGGACTTACAGGCATAGTGAAGGGCTTAGAATTTCTTCTAAGTGCAGTGAGACAAATACTGAATGTTTTTAAGCTAGGGAGAGAAATAATTTGACTTATTATACAAAAAGTATGCTGTGTCTCCTCTATGGAAAATGGATTGGAGAGGAGGCAGTGAAATTGGTGAGAAGGCTGTTGTAGGAGTGCACATAATGACGGGAACCTGAATTGGGTTGTGGCAGTGGAATATATTGTTGGAGGTAGAAACCACAGGACTTGATATATTGGATAAGTGTATGGTGATGTGACACAGGGCTGTGTAAGTAACTGGGTGGATTTATTATCATTTACGAAGATGGGAAGATAGGGGGAATAACTGGTTCTGGGGAAAAAAAATCATGACTTTAGGTTTCATGTTATGTTTATTGTGCTTGAATCTAAATGGAGATGTCAAGTATATCCTTGAATATGAGGGATCAAGGTCTCTGCTAGAGATATTAATTTTAGTGGTCATTATCATGCAAATGGGATTTAAGGCCATCCATGGGAATATAAGAGATCTGTTAGAATATGGCAAGAAAAGAGACAGAGACTTAGGAGAGAGCCCAGAGGAACTATCACATTTAGAGATGTGAGAAAAGAAGGATAGCCTTAGAGGTAAGAGGAAAGGGAGAGATTGAGGTGTAGGAACCAAGAAAAGAAAGTTTTAAATAAGGAGGGAGTGCTGCTAGAAGTCCAGGAGGTCAAGTAATAGAAAGACAGAAAAGTGCCATTGAACTTGGCAACATGCAGGTTGTTGGTGACCTTGAGAAATATAGTTCAGCGGAGTGGTGGAACAGAAGTCAGATCACAATAGTTTGAAGAGTGAATGGAGGGTGAGAAATTGGAAACAATAATGTGGACAACTCTTAGGAGAATTCTTACTGTGAAGGAAAGTAGAAAAATGAAGGGAGATTTGGGGTCAAGGACGATAATGGCATTTTTTCCCCTTTAATTTAATGTGGGAGACAGCAGAACAGGTTTGTATTTTGAGACTTATCCAGGAGAGAAGAAGAGATAGATGATACAAGAGATCAAGGATATAACCAAAATGAGAAGTTCTTTAAGGCTAGAAGAAATGGAATCCAGAGGAATTGGCCTTCATTAAATGGAGGGACAATTATACCATGGTAACCGAAAGTAAGAAACAAATATTTTTCTATGTCAGAGATTAAAAAGTCATACTGAGGAGACACTTCTACCCCGTATATAAGGTATAGTTAAGGCATCCCAGTTTGTGTACATGGTGTAATTTTGGGCACATAGATGCTAGTTTGTTGTGAATAAGTCAAGAACTTGGACACAATAGTTGGCAACAGATGAAAGAAATGATCATGTGACTGGGTGGTGTGGTGACAAGTGGTGAGGCCTACTTCCCCATATATCCGAAAACTAATAGCACTCAAGAGACTAGAAAAAAAGTACATAGGGCAAGAAGGAAAGGTATTGATGAACATTTTTTTTCTTTTATGTGCCAGAAGAAATGGGTATTTACCTTTCTTAATGTATATGTACTAAATATACATATATAACTTTAAACACATAAACTTTAAACACATAAACATATAACTTTAAACACATAAACATTCCCAGTGACTCAACCAACAATAACAAAAATGTCAGCACTCTAAATTACCAGCTCTGTAGTTTTTCCAGTCCTCCTGGTTATACAGCTATAATTTTACGTAGTTGTGA